TTAAGGTTACCATGCTACATTATATTAGTACTGAATAATGTTTTTTGTTGTGATAACTCACCATGCTTGAGCAGATGTTTAATTGGTGGTAACATAAGAACACTGCACCTTGAGGCTCTTAAATCATGCATAAACCTGTGCTCCAACAGCATGGAGATGGAAGCACCTGAACTCTGTTCCCTCTTTATGCAGGTGAGTTCCTTAAAAACATCACAGATTAACTTTATCCCCATCGAAAGACGTGTGTGCATCATTCAAACACGTATTTTAACACATTAGCAGGTGCATTTTTGCTCTCTGAAAATGTTAAAGGACAGTGACTGAATCCCTCTTTGTCTGAGGGGGGGGGGAATGAAACCACCTTCAAGATTCAAATGTCACAACTGTGGCTTTTCATCAGAACCTCCTACAACATTCATTAGAAAGAATTCTGCCACGCCTTCAGAGTTTCCTATCAAATTCAGTCCAGTCACATCCCTCAGGAGTTGTCTCTGCCTGCACAAGGCTTAGGATGATAAATTCACATTGAGCGCAATAAATCCCTGTCAATATAAGAACAATATGTTATGGCTTACAACCAAAAAAAATTGTTATGAATTGTATGCTTCTTAAAAAGCAGATAATCGCATTGTCGTTTATCTTATATCATTTCTTGTACTGCAGGGCACTCTAAAAATTATGAGAACAACAATAAAAAACATGTTTCACAGAATCAGTTCTTCTTACTGCATTAGTTTTCAATACATTGACCGAACATGACTCATGTAAGATCTTGGGAATCTCTACACACCCATCCACAGCAAATACTACAGTCTACAGCTGCTACCTGTACATGCTACAAGGAAAGAAAGGACCGTTTGAAAACATTTACTTCTGAAGAACTACTGAGTGGCATGTGAAAAGACTGTCAGGTATAACTCTGATCATAAGACTGATAAGACTGATGAATCAATGAAGAATCAGTCATGGTTAGTACCTCTATACTAGGAGATTTTTCTGAGAATTGCAATTTTCCAAGTGGAATCTTCCACCAGACCAGTTAGTTTGGCTGCATTTTATCACTAGAAAAGAGTCAGTAGATTTAGATTTTTCCCATAAGCAGCTTTATGCAATATATTGTCCTCATTTCCTTCTGCAGAACACAAAAGAAGATGATTTTGACTCATACAATTAAATTCAATGGGGTCCAAAAGAACACTGGACCCCAATTTCTTTCCTGTTATGAAAATATTCTTATTGAAACAGGAAGCCAGATACAGTTCAAAAGTCTGGAACCAGTAAAATTATAAATGTTTTTTGAAAAAAGCATTTTATGCTCACCAATTTTACTTGATTAAACTTTTAACATTTACTTAATTAAAAAAAAAAAACAGCAAAAAAAAAAACAGTAAAAAAAAATATATATATATTATTATAAATTCAAATAACTGTTTTTAATATATGTCAAAATGTAATTTATTCCTGTGATGGTTAAGCTGAATTTTCAGCATCATTACTTTTCAGTGTCACCTTTGATCAATGTACTTAGAAAGTGAACTAACAATCCCTAAACCCCAAAAATTTGATTTAATTGGAAATTACATTTCTGATTTCAATTGGCAAAGTTTTGTAAATAAGCAAAACCCCGTATAAAGTGAAAACTGCCGATGACAGAAGCTATTCCTCATTCTAGTGAGCTCAAAGTGCATCTGAACAGCTCAATAAGCCAATTATGGCAATTGTTCAGAGCACAAAAGTACAGAGATAAGAGATAACTGGTGGAGAAGTGTACATTTCCCATTTTGCTAAAAAAATTCACAGGACTTGTTTCTCTGCTAATGTTTAGCATTTTCTTATGGGCCTTTTTTTCTTACCTGAGTTTCTTGACATGTCAAAGTGACGTGTGAAACACAAAGTTGACAAACCCTCTCCATTACTCTTGCGGCTGTCAGCAGACAGAACCAGGCAGTACATGAATGGGCCTGATAGGCTTGTAAAGCCTGAAGCGTCAGTGACTGTTTCTGAGCATGTTTCCACGGTGATTAAGCATGTGGAAAAACAGAATGGGTGCTGCCTGGATAATTTAGGCAGCCACTGCCAGGGCATTTGCAGAAATTAGCCTGAGCCTGCTGAAATATAGGAGAGACAATGACACTGCTGATATAACAAACGTTGCCAAGATCTGACACAGAGGAAAGACAGTGCAGGACTTTTTAACTGCCAGATAAGGAGTTGATCAAGTTTGAACAAATGTATATGGAAGGAAGCTGTTACATGTAGATTATATTGAAATACCTGTAATTACTGTCACCTTTGCAATGTGTTAGTGCATTAGATTAGAAGCCAAAAGATTATGACATCATAGTCGCGTGAGCGGCAAATGGGAACAGGCTATTAACTTCTTCTCTAAATGAATGAGCGCATATGTATTCAGTTTTTAAAAAAGTGTCTCTAATCATGTGGGTGTCCACTTAAGTGCAAACCACCCTGCAAACTACTACTCTCCGCAGAGGCCTGAAGCTGAGGGCGGCAGAATATAACTTCATGACATCATGGTAGAAAGTCACAAATAAAAGGGGCTGGTATGGTTCTTACATCATTCAACCCAAAATGTACACACGCACATGCATGCACATAATGAGGAACCAGAAAAAAACCTTTGAATCATTTTATAGGCCAATAAATGGCTCAATTTTCTAGAATACCACAGCTAGCTGAATTTTTTTTTTTTTAGGGGTCCAAAAACTAACTGCTGGGAGCCCTATTGTTTTCATTAGGATTAATATTATACATTTTCTGCCTGAAAATTAAATATACAGAATAACCCGTAAATAGTAGAAACATGACATTTAGAACACTACAGGAAGAGCTACAGAGCAAAAAAGAAAAAAAATATACCACCATTTATTTCTGCCAAGGAAATTTTTCCACCATATTGGATTTCTACGGAAGAGAAAGAGGGCCATGCAATAATAAAAAATAAAACCATCTCGAGATTAAAGTCATTATAATGCAAGATTAAACTCAGTTTTCTGAGAAAAAAAACTTGAAATACAATATTGAGATTCAACTCATTAAATTTCGAGAATAAAGTCATTATAAATATAAACTGCGAGTTTAATCTTGCATTATAATGACTTTAATCTTGAGATGGTTTTATTTTCTAATATTGCTTGGCCCTAATCCTCTTCCATAGATTTTTGAACAACAACAAAAAAACTACTTTTGCAAACTAGGTTTTTTTGACAGTCAGTACTTGTAATTTGGCTGTACCAAATTTTGCATATGTGTATTCTTGAGTCTCAAAATAATAATTAAAATATGTTAAACTTTGAATTCTAGGCTACATAATGAAAAATGTAGGGCACGGCAAGGGCTGTGAAACGATTGATCGTGATTAATCGCATCCAAAATAAAAGTTTGTGTTTACATAATATATGTGTGTGTACTGTGTATAATTATTTTGTATATATATAAATGCACACACATGTATAGAAAAATTTGTTATTTATATATAAAATGTTTATATTTATGCGCAAAGCTTCTAGGTTGCACGTCACACGCAGGCTCACTATTGGCCGACGCTGGTCATGTGTGTGATGCGTGACGTACAACCTAGAAGCTTTGCGTAGTTTCACTACGTGAAATATCACAGCCCACAGAGAAGGAAATGATTAGTTGAATAAAGTCGTCATTTTTGTTTGTTTTTTTGTGCACAAAAAGTATTCTCGTCGCTTGATAAACTTAAGGTTGAGCTACTGTAGTCACTCGGACTATTTTAACGATGTCTTTCATAACTTTTGGGCCGGTCAGTTTCGATCCCTTAAGAAGCCTATGGAGGAGTGATCCAGCTCTCAGATTTAATCAAAAATATCTTAATTTGTGTTCCGAAGATGAACGAAAGTCTTACGGGGTTGGAACAACATGAGGGTGAGTAATTACTGACAGAATTTTCATTTTGGGGTGAACTAACACTTTAATGCTGACATCTGGGTTGGCCTACAAAAATACATCATTACTGCAGCACTATTCCTGAACCAAATAAGTATCTTCAATGAACTTTAGTAAACGTATGTATAAACTTGGTTGTGCTGGACCAGTTGGTGGTTCTATAAAAATGACAAACAATCTGATATGTTGATGTGAACTTGAAATTGAATATGCTTTGACCAACATCCAATGAGCATTTCAATACTATTTCAAAAGCATGAAAACTTTCATCTCGTTTGGACAGAGGGTGGCGCTATAACAGTGAAAAACTGAAAAATGTGTGCAGCTTCATTACATGATACACTGATGTAAATTGCACATTCATTGTCTTAACATATAGGTCAAATACAAATGTTACAATTTTGTAAGGTCATATAGTTTAAAGGGTTATTTTTTTCTAACTTAATAATTTGTGCTTGCAGCTATATAGCGTACAAGCCTATCGCAACTGAGCTGATTTGCATACAGGTAAACACTAAGGGAGAAATGGCAATGAGATGTATCATAGAACTTCCAGAGCAACAAAACCAGCGTGTTAGCGCATAACTTTCCGTTCAAATTTGTGTAAAAAAAAAAAAAACACCTTCAGTGACCTAAATCTTCAGCAATGGGATAGGCTTGAGGGAAGTGGCCTAGTAGATTTTGCGTGTCACAAAAAGTACTCTGTAAAGAAAGTACCTCCATTATTTTTTCTTTTCTTTTTTTTCAGTGCTGAACATGTTTCAACTTTCTTTGCACAGTGCAAAACTTAGGCTAAGTGCATTCAAACGTACACATTATTCTAAACGTAGGCTAAACATAACGAGTGCTGAAAACATTAAAAAGCAACTGCGCAATATTAATTCCAAAGCATCAGTGCACGTCGTCGGTTGTGTCTCAAAACCAAACGAGCTGCCTATAGCTAGACAACATTTAGAATTGTTGCTTATGATAAAAATGCTTCAGGCGTTTTTGACGCCCAAAAATGCAGTCTAGACATGCAGCTCGCTTAGATTTGAACCACAACTAGTAAGTAATGTTTATTGTATTACCAGTTGGTGGATGCTCGCGGGTTGAGGATGTCTTCTTTAGCAGTCAGCAGAGACAGGCTGTACGTGTCCAAATTAATCGCTGTCATCCTAATGCAGGAGTGTTTCTATGTAGGCTACTCCACAAGACCAGTGCACTTCAACTCTCGCTCTATGTCCCTAGTAAACACGCGCAGTTCCCTTATCCAAAGTTGCATTCAGTGACGTGAGTTTTGCAGGCGATGTGTAACTTCTGTAAGTGAAGAGCTGTTTGAGGTGGAGGCGAACACTGCTGATGTGCTGCATCAGTCCTGCTGGAAAACTTCGTGAAGAGGAATCTCTCCAAGAGCTCCACCTCCTGCTCCGAGAGGGAAAAAACACCAATGATGTTGCACAATTTCACTTTATCTTGGTTGTTGGTAACATGAATTAGGTCTAGGCCTACACACCGTGGTATGCACGGTCACATTCAATTAATTTGGAGATAACATAATGTAATCCAGTTGTAATGTTCTTGACTGTTTAAACACGAGGACGCATATCAAAATGGGTTTATGGACATTCTTGCTGAGTTAGATCATGAGATGTCCAGATGCCTTTGCAAGTTTTATGCTAACTTGGATTTTAATAATCATATTTTTTCAGAGGTTTTTGAACTTTTTGAGGCCAGTGACTTTAAATATGATGATATTTTTCCTTTTTCATACACAGACATTATACTGTTAGAAAGTATAATGTTAAAGACATGTTGTTTGCAAAAATAAATAATTGGTATTTATATCCAACACTGAACCTAAATCAAAACAATTAAATATTAACCTATCTGAAAACGATTATTTTTAAATGTTTCTTGAGATCGTTTTTAAAACACATTTACTGTATTTGACAATATTAGGCTACTGTTACATTCTGCTTTTTATTGATGACCATAATAACAGTGAGAAATAAAACAAGTATGACTGCAAAGTGAAGCATTAGTGCACACTGACAGTACATTGTCAAATTAATTAATATCAATATAATTGAACAAATTAACACTGATTTTTTTTTTTCTCAACCTTTTTTTATAGAGCCTCTAGAGAGGCCATGCAGCTGAGACGAGGATTGTCAAAATTAAGTTTGAAAACCTCTGTGCTTTACTTGACTTGTGCTTTTGTTATTCAGGATTCCACAAAGACAGAGAAATCATGAGCACAAAAAGAAACTCTGAGTGCAAAATCATTCAAAATTTTTAGATCTTTCCTCCTATTCTGTGCCTAATGTTTGAAGCCTGTCCGTGAATGAGTGTAAGTTTGGTTGGAAGTCCGCTGGTCCTGTATTGGCACTGTATTGAGCTGCCAGTCTCTTTTTGTAGGCTTCCTGTGAGCAGTCTTTGGGCCGCTTGGCAGCCAGCTGAGAAGTTGTTTACAGTACATTGATCTCTGGAGGGACCCTAGCCCCAGCAGGGCTGATTTCATGGGAACTGAACTTGATAGTGTCCATTTAAATTGGCTTTGTTGCTGCAATGCCCAGTTTAATACTATTGCTCTCTCTACACACCAGTGTTATTTTAGTATCACTGAGATATAAGGATTCCACATAATGATAAAAGATGCTTAAACTAAAAGAGAGACACTGACCCACATGAGAAGAAAAGTTTAGTCTTCATACTGAGCTCCTCCTTGCTGATGTCAGTTCAATATTACTCTTTAGGAATACCAGTCTCATTCTCTCTTACACACCCACACACACACAGAGCCGTGAACGGGAACTGAACCCACATTTTCCTCTGTCTGACTCTTTAAACATTACATCATCTATCTTTATGGTTTAATTAGTTGCATGTTGTAGATGTAGAGCTCTGCTTGTGAAGGGCCCCCACTGCCTGTCTAAAATGCTGTTTAACCCTCTCAAATGTATGTTTAAAATATAAAATATTCCAGCTGAGGCACATGGTCTAAAAGGAACGGGTGCTAAAATGTCAGAATTCCTTCACGATCTCAGTAGCTTCCTGCCTCATGTTGCCTTCCCCTAGACAGATTTGAACCGTTAGGCTTTTGTGCTTGACATGACAGCATGTTTGGTATTTCCTTTGAGTGACATGAAAGATTATTTAAAGTGCTGTAATGTTTGATAGGAATACACTTAGCACTGGAAGCGTACACAACATGGAGGATGAAGCTCCCCTTTGGTTCCTCTGTGTTCTGACTGAGCCTGAAGAAGTCCCTGTCATCTACAAGTCGACAAATGTGTTTTCTATACCTTGGCCTTTCTAGGATAGTTTTTTTCAAACTGAAAGTGAGAGCAAGGGCATGTCTGTACAAAATGTGAGTGAAGAAAACAAAATATACACCTTGGATGGCTTGAGGGTGAGTAAATCATGGTATAATTTTCCCTTTCCCTTTATAACTATCCCTTCAATTAAATATGTTTAATGAATTTAAACACATTTTTTTTATCCTTAATTATTTTATTGACAACCAGCTTTAAAATAAATTACTTTGCATATAAATTTGTTAGGAAAAGAATCATTTAAAAACACTTTTTTAGGTTTAAACATTTAAAAGTACTCTAAATGTGCAGTTACTGTTGCTTTGCGAAAGTCATTTCTATAGGGTTCTGCGTGTTCAGGAGAAAAAGGTCAAAAACACACAAAAGGTCAAATTTCCCCATGCAAATGTTGCTCATATTCAAGTTAGTCACGCAAATTCACCTAGCTGGCCAGCAGAAAGCAGCTTGGTTTGAAAGTGACTTCTGCGGGACGTGTTATTTGCTCGGCGAAACCAGAGTTGGCCAACTCTTAGATGTTTAAACCTGAAATAAAAGGGTGTTTTTCTTTCCAATATTATCACATTCTCAAAAGAATGTCTGGATTCTGACCCGTGAAATTTCACAGAGCAATAGTAAATGTGACCGTACAAGAAGATATTGTCGTTATTATATACATAATATTTTCCTTATACAGTCTAAATAGATTTGATTTATGCAAAAAAAGATGTTAGTCATATAAACAATCTTGTCCCTGGTCAGCAAATCATCATATTTAAGGGGACCTTGTTCTGCTCTACTACAGTATAATGTCTTAGAAGTTTCATTAAAAGTTTAATGCAGCAGAGCAGACATTCAAGACCAGTCATGTCTGTTACAGCATTGCTATATTTGTCAGCCTTTACATCTTAAACACATGCAATGCACACACACACACACACACACACACACACATACACAGTCACTTCGATTTGTTTAGACCTGAAAGAGGTCAAAGTTCAACACACCAAAGATATATGCCTTGAGTTCAGGATTATAGTTTGACCTCTGCCCTCTCGTAGTCATTACTCTTTTTCATCATATGTTTTCTGTTAGACTTGCTTCTCTCCATCCCTTTCAAGCATCCAGCATTTCATCAACCTTTCCTGGACTTTTGATACTGTTTTCTTTTCTTGCCTGAATGCTTTATCTTAAGTAAATGCTAGCATTATCAGGACTGACTTCCTGAGAATTCATTACCTTTTGAAATGCCTATACAGACATACAGCATATCCCCATATCATATGGAGCTGTACATTGTCAGATTTCGCCCCCCAAAAAAACGCTTTCATAATTTTCTGTGCATAATTTCAACCCTAAAATTGCCCACAATGCCACAGTGTAATTTATGACTTTCTTCAGCTAAATAAGTTTAAAGTAATACGGGGGCAAAGATTCGCAATCGGGGGAGGAAAGCATGTTTGCTTCAAAGGTTTGTATTTCAGTGTTGTAAGCAATATGTGTTTGCTTTCTCATGACATAAGGACATTAAGAGGTCAAACAACGCTTGCTACTCTTTACAATATTATCACACTCTTGTGAGGAGGCTTCAGAGAACATCCTCCACTGGTTCCAGCCTGTTTACATAGCCATTATTTTGTGCTGCGCTCATTACACCAGAAGATGAAGATCTCATGCTTTATTTGTCACAGTCTGCACCCCCACATTTGGCATTCTTGTGCGTGTTAATTACATTTTCCATTAATATACATCACACCTTTTTTGACAGGAGACGTTAGTTGATATACTGTATGTAAATTGCTCACTGAGGTGTCTGTGTGGATGAGAAAACATATTTTACACATGCACATATATGACCACAGGCGCAAGCTGCCAATGTGCGGTCAGGTTGAACATACTGTATTGGACGCAAATACCTGAACAATGCCAAGATGTGCTCTTGTAACATTACCTAATAATAACAGCAGTATAACATAAACTTGATTACATAAGACATTGCCAACACACACTGTAAATTAAAATTGTTGTTTCAACTTAAAAAAGTAAGTGCTGCCTTAAAACTTTAAGTTTAGTCAACTTGAAATGTGAAGTTGTACTATGTGACAACTTGGATATTTGAGTTGACTAAAGCTACAATTTGAAGGCAGCATGAACACTTACTTTTTTAAGTTGAAACGACATTGTTTTTTACAGTGCAGAAGGCGACAGAGGCATAAATAGTAAAAAAAAAAGATTTGTAGAATCCCTACAAAGGCACATGGTTCATATTTTGACAATATTAATGGTTAAGAGACTGTGACCGTTGCAAGACTTTTTCATGCAACACAATGTAACATCTGTGAAACAGTTTTAAAAAGTTTGAAGTGTCTCTGCAGCTCAATGGGCTACAGTATATACATACATATAATATTTAACTGTATTACAATTGATTGTCTCATTGGTTTGATTTACACTGTGCAGTCCAGTGACTTCCCATGAAACAGTTCATTTATCTGTAACAGATAGCTGAATAATTGCATGCAAAGAAAGACTAAACGTACCCAGATATTAAGTCTTTTGCTTTCAGAACCATTGCCATTCATTGTGTTTTAAGACACAAGGACATCAGTAATATAGAGGGATTTGTTATAAAATGAGGGGGTGAGTGAGTTTAGACATGCAGGTCCAGTCAGGAATGTCTGTGACTTTGTTTGTTGATTTCATGTTTTGGATTAACACATTAATTAAATTATAATTTTGAAGAATTCCATTCTGGACAATAAAATCTTAAGAACAATGAGATGTAACCCATACAATCTACGGTCGCATTAACTCTGAGGCATTACATTAAACAGAACAAGACTTTAAAGGAAAGTTTAATGGAGAAAATTGAGCATACTGTGGTACAAGCCATCAGACATAGTTTATGAGATGTTTGCTGGCCGCAAAAGATGAAAACGCATTTCAGTGCCACTGGCCTTTTCAGACATTTACTCATGTTTTATAAGTTTTATGGGAAATTTTACTTCTTGATGGCATGAAGAGAAAAATGTTCAGCCCCCTGCTTAAAGTGGGATAAGACTATGATGTAATGGAAG